GAGTTGCTACTTTCGTCAGATATGAAGTTATGCATTGTTCAAAGAGAAAGTGCATTTGCGCTTGCTTTTAAGACAAAAAACGACAATGGAGGATTTTAGAGAACTTTTCAGAGATTTTAGGTGCCTTTGCGGGCAAATCCGGTCATTTTTGAGACAAAACTTGACCAAGATGGCAGAAACCAGGAGCCAAATTTTCACCATTTTCACGCCCAGCTATCGTGGCTCGTAAACTGTGAACCTTCCAGGTTCCTACTTAAATTGAGTGCGAAATTATGGCCTTTTTTAGAAAGCTCCTTTTCAACCCCTGTTCCCGGTTCGTAAATTAAAAATAAAATATTGATGACCCACTGAACTCCACCTTTTGCAAGCTGCAGGTCCATCATCTTCATTTATCCGCACTCGATCATTAGTTTCCCCTTTTTCTTTATATTTCTCTGGTAATTGAATCGACCCTCAATACGCGTTTCTGTCTCGTAAACGTAAAGAAATAAAACTTTCATTAGCCGCACATGTGTCGGTTAAGGCCGAATTGGAATAAAACGAAACTTGGGAGTCGTTAGCATGGTCGGAATTAAGTGCCGTTATAACTGAAGTCAGTGAAATATGCTTTAGCGTCCTCATAAAACCTTCTACTTCGGGAAGTGTGCGAGCATATTGCTTGAACGAGTTTGTCGCCGTGAAAACGAAAATCGATTAAACATCTTCGTAAAGAAGGCCATCCAGAGATGTTGAGGGACTGTGTTAAGATGGAAAAAACCAAAGAATAATCAAACCTGAATTAATCGAGGTGCTAATTTTCACGTCCAGAATCCTATAAATCAACAACACACCTCGAATTGGCCTATCGGCTCTGTGCAGATTGAGTAATAATGCATTCCGGGTATTTATTGTGTGGAACCTCAACAATGCCTGGATCGGCATTTGCTGATTAGTCAATGCAGCAATAACATATCTGATTGCTTGCAAGTAATTGAATCGGCTGTAGTTGGTGCGAAGCTGCAGCATTTCATCCACAGCTAGTGTTGGACAAAGTAGATTTATAAACAGCAATGCAACTAAAATAAGTCTTTGTTGCTGAATTTCTCCTGCATAAACAGTAATTAGTAAACTGTGCCCAACGCTCTTATTGTTGCCTAAAATATGAAACTGTTATCGCTTAAACTGTTAAAGCTGCAAATCGACTTAAAGTTCCCCATTAAAGTTCGTCTCAACCAGGAAACTTTCAGTTAGATTTAGGGCTGAACGCACCTGAAAAATACAATTTTTATTGCCCCTGTAATTTGCATTTCAAGTGCTTAATTTACAAATCAAATTTTACGACTAGTGGCTAAATGATCAAATTGGGTCCAGTCTTTCGAACTAGATCATTGTTTGGTGGCGTGTTTGAACCAAAAACACTGACTATACGCGATTGAAAAGAAAAATCTCAGTGCCATTCAAGTTAGGAATTGAAAGGAAAAGTCGCACTATCCAACTGCAAAATTTGGTTAAAAATGCGGCCATTTAAGCCAAATAGATCGCATCTAAAAGCCTCATTAGCTCCTATCCAGAGCGATGTCACCAAATGTAATTTCTGCCGAAGTTTTATCTGCAATTATGGGTTAGCGAGCGCGGTATCGCCCCATGTTGCATGGTCGATTATATCAAAACCTCATGCTCGTTTAAGTTCCACGTTTAATTTGCATGAATGGATGGGTTTACCTCGATGATTTAGATTTCCGATTAGATTAGCCAACCCCAATAGCAATCTGTTGACTGCTGAGGGAACAAAGTGGCCGGTGGAGTCGAGATTAATTATTTAAAATATGTAGGGCGTCTGCTAAAAGCGTCAAACAGACCTTAAGAAGACTCATATTCAATTCGTTCTGAAGTGCATATATTCGGTTTTAACAATGCGAAAATGTTGGACATTAGAGCGAGGTCTACGCCATGAAAACAGCCAGTTACCGATGCAAAATCTCATCTGTTTTTGAGTAATTCGTCAAAAATTCCTGGGAGTTGTAAATAAATCAGCGCTCCGCTAGCATCCGGCTGCCAGATAAATTACCGGCCCTTATATTTCTTGCCTTTTATATGGGAATAAATCAAATCCTAATTGCGATACCAGCAACAGCTCATAGTTTTTAAAAGGTAATCAAAACGGGTTACGAGCGAGGAATAAATTTAACAAAATCGAGTGCGATAAATCAGAACGGGCTTTGTTTAACTCGGCTCGATGCTTTTTTCGTTATTTCGCTAACCAACGTAGAACTACAACAATACGAACGCAATTAACGCGATGAATTGGGCTGTTGATTTATTTGGGTCTTCGACGAGATTGATTTTGCACTTGTTCAAGAGAGGGAAGATTTGTACGGCTTTGCACGCCTCAAACGGCCTCTTCGGTCCATTTTTTAACTGAAGAGCAATCATCTGAAGTTGATGCTGTAGGAAGTCCATTAGTGAGCGTGACAAAGGATAAAGAGCCCTTCTAAATATTTAAACAATTCCAACAATGTGAAGAATACCAGTTTTTGTATAGGAAAATAAGTCCATTGGTTCACAACAATTTATCCGGCGTCATTGATTGCCTCCATGACTATTTTATTAGAATTAATCCGGGGTCTCTGTGTTTCTATGCAAAACAGTATTGGGTTACTGAAATAAAATAAGAAAGAAAAATAAAAGGACAAACACTCTTTCGAAATCAACTAATAACGATATTTTGCAGAAAATTTTCATTGGATTTCCTTCGCTTGCTGCTTGTGTGACTACATTGCCCCGAATCTCATCAAATATCTCAGAAACTAAGTAAAATGTGGAATCCAGCAAGAGTCAAAAAGTTTCAAAATGAGTCCGTCAATGGCACTGTATACAAGCACAACATACAAAAGGGGTGGCCCACAAAACACCCTTACATGGACATTCTGGAGCATTTGTGGAGTCATTAGAGTCGGACCATAGGCGCAAAACTTATGATGAGAAAACGAAGACATTTTCTGCAACTCTCTGTCTCTCCGAAACGATACGACTCTGGGAGCAATTTTTACAACCAATTAGTTAAAATAGTTTACGAGGAAGTTGGAAGTAGAACGTTCTGTCTTTGTGGGCTGCTCAAGAAGCTCGTCGCAGCTCATTAATTCCGCAAATAATTTTGTAACAGCAGCCAGCGCCGAATATTAAAGACACCTTGCCTCTGCAGACAGAGGCAATTTCTGCATTTAGGGGTATAATAAGGTAGCAAAATTCCTTTGTTTCCAGTTGGGCAAAATGCGTTGCACTCATTTATTGCAAGGTTTAGCTTACGAAATTCGAATTAAATCAGGCAGGTTTTTTGGTGTCGCGAGAGAAGTAGTAGGACAAAGTCCAACAGGAAAATATTTGCAATCCACCCCCGCAACGGGCATTGAAGGGAAAAAGTCTTTGCATCTTCAGACCTTCATTCACAGAAAAACCGACCTTTTCATATTTTTTTCAATTTCAAAACTGAAAAATGACTCTCCGAGCATTTCCGATCTAACGCCACTTGAGGGGTGAGCGAGCAAATGTCCAAACACATGTGGATATTTTCAGACTGTGAAGGCTTTCACGGCCGGTTAAATCACATTTAGAATGTTTTTCGGGCTTTGAAGCCGTGGTCCATGGGAATTTCTTCCTGACGTTTCGTCAACAATTGCGGTGGACATTATCAAAGGCGAAGTGATCTGATGTGCTTTCCGACTAAGGCTGGTTCAACCACTGGATCCCCTGTGGCCAAGTAAATACGACAGGGGATTTCAGCATTCAATATTCAACTTGAAGTTGATGGAATTAATACGGAAGAAAATTTGCAAAAAAATAAGCTGATTAAATTAAAATAAGCAAAAGTAGACAGCGCTTTTATTGCTCAGTTCAGCCGCCCACAAAAGCCTAAAGCGAAATTCGAAAAAAACTCGCTCTTCTGAAATATACGCAGCAAATCACGCTAAAATAGTTGACATGCTCCGGCTGTTTTATTTCTGAAGCACTTTGCCCGAAAATTATTTGCTACAGTTCGCCATGAGGGTTTATGGCCGATGCCAAAAGGCGCAACTATAAAATTTTAATGATTTACTGCCTAAGCTGAATATCTTTTTCATAATTCGGTACTTAAATTGTGGAAACTGTAGGTTTTTGAAAACGTGACCACCGAGTTTATCGTCTGTAAAAGCACATACGCTGGTGAAACGAGTTTTTGACTTGACTTTGTTGAGTTCCACATACGGGTTTTCAAGTAATGTAAAAACGTTTTGCTGGTTGATTCAAGGATTTTTCAAATATTAATGGTATTTGTTGGTTGAACCAATTGTTTCSCGAYTGAAATCCCTTTGATTTTGTAACGAAAGCTGGTAACATTCCGAACATGTTGTTTATTCGACTATGAAGGCTTTCACGGCCGGTCAAATCACATTTAGAAATGTTTTCCGGGCTTTGAAGCCGTGGTCCATGGGAATTTCTTCCGGACGTTTCGTCCACAACTGCGCTGGACATTATCAAATGCGATGAGGCAGTGGGCGAACTGATCTCCCGTGCTTTCCGACTAAGACTGGTTCAACTACTGGATCCCCTGTCGGCGCATAAATACGACAGAAATTAGAGATATTAGTGTAGAAAAGTTTTCCAGGCTTTGAAGCCGTTGTCCATGAGAATTTCTTCCGGACGTTTCGTCCACAACTGCGCTGGACATTATCAAAGGCGATGAGGCAGTGGGCGAAGTGATCTCCCGTGCTTTCCGACTAAGACTGGTTCAACTACTGGATCCCCTGTGGCCGYATWWATRCGGCCACAGGGGATCCAGTAGTTGAACCAGTCTTAGTCGGAAAGCACGGGAGATCACTTCGCCCACTGCCTCATCGCCTTTGATAATGTCCAGCGCAGTTGTGGACGAAACGTCCGGAAGAAATTCCCAGGGAGCACAGCTTGAAAGCCCGACAAGCTTTTAAACAGGTAGATCTGCTACCAGTCGGCTAAAGCCGCCTTCATACTGAACTGGTTTGTTGCAGGCATGAAGCCCCGAATGAAGAACCACTTCCGCGCCCACCAATTGAGCGTCTGGCTGCGCCTGATTCCTGAGCTGCATCGAGCCGGGATGGAGGACGTGGTGGCCAGACACAACCTCTTCCGGAACCACAACAACGCCGACCTCTACGATGGAGCCGTGCGTCCTGATCCTCTGTCCCGAGTCAGCTACTACGATCCCACAGTGGAGCTGGTGAGGCGACGCCCCAATGCCACTCTCAGTGCTTTGGAGGTGGCCACCACTGTGGACACAGCTGTGACCACCTGCGTGAATATTATTCCGCCTGGTGGCTACAATACGCAGGTGTACCAAAGCCAGGCCAACCAATCGGACACACTGGCCAGCTTCGAAGCCGCAGGATTCGCTGCATACAGTACCGCCTTGAGCGTTACCATTGCCATTGGGTGCTCTCTTTTGATTCTCAACGTGATGATTTTTGCGGGGGTGTACTATCAGAAGGACAAGACCCGCATGGAGGTGAAGAACCTGCAGCAGCAGCAGACGCGCAACCAGCAGACTTTCGAGACCATATCCAAGCACCAGCACTATCATTTGAGTCACTCGCAAAGCTCCAATATCATTGTTGATGTTGAACAGGACACTTCCGCCATGATTATGGCTGCCAATGCGCAGCAGGACTACCAGGCAATGAACAAAGTGCAGCAGCACCTGTGCCCGACCAGCATCAGCATTTCCAACACCATCAGAGCCCCATCGCCCAGCTCCAACTGCATGACTCTGCCGAAAAACGCCTCCATGCAGAACTGCAACTACAACCACACCGGCTGCATGACGCTGCCCAAGAACGCGTCTTTGCTGAACAACACCGCATGCGTCATTGCCGAGATGAAGCAACAGCATTTGGTGCAGCCTCCGAATGGAAACGCCACAATGCCGCTGGCGGTGCCCAAGCCTCCGCCTCCTCCCAGAGCCTCCAGCCCCGAAAGCCAGCCCCTTCTCAGCTCAGGCTACAACAACATCTCGAAGGGAAACATGAGGCTTCCGCAGGCCGCCATGAGTGAAATGAGGGTGTGATAGTGCTTCGGTGAGTCTAGGGGTAATGATGGACTGGAAATCACTAGGTTCTAGGGTTCATTCACTAACTTCGTCGAATTCAAGCTACCTTGCTTTCGATTGACCTGCACTAGGTATATGGTTCTCTTGTACAGGGTGTTTTCAGATATGGCTGCCTTTTGGGGCAAATGTGCGCCGCTCCATGTGTTTCTAGGAGGGCGATTCTGTTCGGTGGTACCAAAAGGGATGACTGGACAGTCTTTTTACTGTTTAGTTTGATGAGAAATAGTGGGTGGCAGCTGAGGGTGCACACTTCTCACCTTGCTGGAATGTCCCTAACGCCTTCTACATCTAGTGCTGGGCTTTGCTGAATGTCTGCGGTTCTTCAGTTTGGTCCAGCACCTTCTTTTCAAAAATCTCATCTACATTGCCAGGAAACTGTCCCCCAGAGAACCTGCTTCATACCTGCCCATGTCCTCCACAGCTTTGCAGGGTTGTTATAGCCAGATGCAGCTAAGCTGGCTCTTAGTTCAGAAGCCCCCCAACATTCATCGTGTTTTTTTCAGCAGAAGTTTCTTACTTCTATACTCAGGCATATTTGAGACATTTTCACAATCCTATGGACGTCCAAGTACCACTGCTTCCTCTCTTCAGGGTTCCAAGAGTTTTCCACATCCTCAGTAAGTAGAGCATTTATCGCATCGATAATCAACATTATTTGACTGGTTTTTTACGGCTGATTAAATGTAAGTCATTGATGGGATTTCGTCTAGAGAAGCTCAAGCATGGCCAAAACCCGCTTTGGTACCAACAAATAAAATCCTGCTCTATCGTCCAGTCGGATTAGAATTTTTCTAAAAGAGTTTTAATACCTTTTCGCTTCAAAAGTTATGCACAAAAGCGGTTTTCCCAAGTTTCTTTCCAATATTCTTTCATCTTTCCGAGTACCTTCCAATAATCTTTTAAAGCTTTTTAAGGTCTAATCTGATTGGACTGCTGGTTCTTTTTTGAATCAGCACCCAGTCTCTCAGTAGATTCTCAAAGACATTCGACTTGTGCTGTTGCATAATGAAATTTTCCGCGTTTATGTGCAGCAATGGAACAACTATCAAAAGGGAGTGCTTGCAAGTGAAAAAACTGTTCATACATCAACATAGTTAATTTTCTTTTGGCAACTTCCTCCAGGAAAAGACTTTGGTTCTAAACCCACCCTTTGTTCTAGATAGGGTTTCCAGCTCCCAATATTTGGGTCTTAAGAGTTGCAAATTTGTGTTAATTGAAACCAATTTGTAGATACTTTTAATGTTATCTGCAGTGCAATGTAATATCAAAGAACTGTTCAGTGTTTCAGCCAAAACGGACCGCAAGCGGACAATCCAATTGTCGATATAAAACTTTGCTCTGAATGGGGCAAATTTGACGATTTTTTTAACGGTTATTATTCTTTAGTTGGTATTTTGCACAATATCTCATAAGTACCAACAGGGCATTGCAAAATTCAACGAACACTGTTGGACACTCATCGATATTTAGAAAATTAGTTCTTGTAAATAGCACCACTATCAATGGTTTCGTTGAATTTTGGAATCGTTAGAGTCGATCTCGACATGTATTCAGCAGCTAAGTTATATCTAAATTATGTGAAACTTTAATTAATTATAATTATTATTAATAAAAAGGGTAAATCATTTCTGGTTTGTGTTCCTTCCTCTGCCCGACTTGGCGCTGATGATTTACGTTTCCAACGCTCTGAGGATTTACAGTGGAAACTTTAGTTTTTGACGGCAATTTTTCATACTCAGAACGCCAACTCAAAGCTCTAGATGATACCTAGAAGCAAAAACAGGGAAACCGGTGGGAAAAACAGTGAACATTTGCAAATCTCTAGCTACTTTTCCATTATTTGAAGCCTTCGCCAACAGCCACATTTTCACGTAAAAGAGTGCAAACCTCTTGAAACAGAGCAGATGCAGAAACTCCACTCTTCCTTGAATTCCCATTGGAAACGTTAGGAAGGGAAAGCAAAACTCTTCACGTTCCCGTAGAACTCCGCAGGTATAAAAATTGATCTATATTTATTAACGTATGAATACTGTAAGTACACTGTGTTGCTAATATCTCGAACTGCCTCAGTCTCAAGGTACCACTTTTACGCCTAAAGTAATGAAGAAGTTATAAACTAAGTACATGCTAATGAACCCAAACATGTTAAACTCGCTTCACTACCGTTCCGGTGTCTGAGTCCCCAGATGAGGGCGAGTTGGACTCGGAGCTCGACGCGTCCTTATTGAGGCTCGTGTTGGACTTTAACAGCATGGGAATTTGCGACTTTTTTACAGCTCTTTTCTCCGCTGCCTCCTGCAGTAGCTCCTGGCTTTTGGAGATCTCTGGGCGATTATCCGATGCCACCACTCTCGGAATATGCTTACCGCCCGGTTTCTCATCAGGTTTGCTCCGATTGATGGTGGGCTTGACCACTACTTTAGCGTCGTTCCTCCTAATAGGGTTTCTCTGGTTCGTTGTTATAATAGCTCGAGGTATGGCTCTAGTTTCGTTCCTAGAGGACTTTTCTGGGATCGAGTCGAGCCGGTCCCGACTGCTCTCGTTTTTGCTCCTGGGAATTAACGGCCCAACATATAAGTTGTTGCAGGCCACTTCTGGTTCGGGAGAAGCTGGAGGTTCTTCGGCCAGCATCGGTTCGGACAGGCAAACTGGCTGGGGATTGCTGCCTTGTCTTCCCAGGGTGGTGGTTCTAGGAGGAGGCACTGGTGGGAACCTCATAAAGTTCCGCCCAGTTGGAGAATACGGTTCCGAGTTAGAATACTGTTGGGGGTCCAGCATGGGAACGAACAGGTTATGGGCCGGCATGGATCGGCGCTTGTTCAAAAACGCCTGCCGCCCCGGATGATCTGGGAGAACCTTTGGAAAGTTCCTCCTCTTGATGGTCTGCAGGGCTTCTTCGGGGGTCATCGGAGGAGGCACTTCCATGTTAGTCTCGCGCGAGGTCACATTCACATCCATGTTGGGGTCAAAAGTTTTCAGGCGCTTGATAGCAGAATAGTCCAGATCCTGGACGGGATCCGACTTGGAGTGCCCATGCTCAATTCTAATCACTCTGGGCTCCGTTTCGATGCTTTTCAAGTCAATGCTTGTGATGCTTTTGCGTAGATCCTGCAAGGGATTGTTTGGCCGAGCTTGCGAAAAGTCCTCCAGCGTCACGGACCTCCGCAGAGGACTAGGGGAGAACTTGGGGTGGTCAAGCGACTTAGTCAGCTCAATGGGCTGCTGCATCAGCACGCTTGGACCGCGCCCTGAAGGTGTTGCGTCGATTGCAACCGAAACCTTGTCAATTCGCTTGCGGCGGTTCGACCTATCAATGCTAGCAGTTTTGATCAGAAGCGGCCGGTGTTTGGGCGCCTTTTCTTCCTCCGGGCTTACAGGCCTAGTGGGATGGTCCAAACTAGAGTCTATTTCCATCGCCTTCTTCTGCGGTTTGGCCTTTTTTTCGGGCTTCCTGTTGCCTTTGGGACTGTACTTGAGGACAATTTCGTTGGTGATCCACTCGCGGACTTTTGCATGCGCATCGATCGTGCTGTTGGACAAATTCCTGGTGAGTTTCACGTGGTTGGGCCCGCCTTTAGTGTCCACATGGACGGCGTCGTAAGTGTCGTCCTCCTTCCGTTCGCCTCTCCGCAGCAATTTGAGAAAGTTGCAGTTGGTCAGCAGCGATAGTTTGGCCTCCTCAAAGGGTCCGTCCACAGCGCTTTCTTCTACCGGTGGGATTTGCGCTGTGGTTGCAGGCGAGCCCTTTTTGCTTCGGATGCACTTGAAGTAAAGGAACGTGAAAAAGGCCAGATTGGCCAAGAGGAAAAGAGCGCCGACTATCATTAAGACGCTAACTGAGGATGTACTTTGCGTCATTTGCCCAGTGCGGACTGGTATGTCTGATTCAGTTCCATCCGGTTGAGAAGGTTTGACCGTTCGGCCAGGCCCGGGAGGAACTGAAACGTTGAAGTTTTCATACTTCTGGCGCTGGTCCGGGTAAAACTTACTCCTGGACATCGGGGTTTTTCTGGAAAGGTTCAAGATGTTGGGAAACGCGTCGTTCCAGTACTCCATCTGCTCCCTTCGGTAGAAGCGCCCGTTGCTGATCGGAACATCTGCATAAGGAAGCCAAAATGGGTTTAGTGCACTGTTCGCTAACCGAGTGGCAGTATGAAGTGGTACCTAAGTTGATGAAGTTCTGCTGTTCGGGATCGAACTGCAACCACTCTCTATCGAACCGATGCCAGTTGTTGTAGTCCATTTCAAAGTAGTTAGTTTTGGGAACCGTCGGGTTTCTGGGGGATGTTAAAACAGATCGCATGCAGTTAAACCGGGATTTTGCTGTGGCAAAAGCGTTTTCAACAGAAATTCTGTGCGAACTCACCCAGTGTTGGCAAACTTGCAAAAATATTGCATCATAGTCATCGACAACCGTTTCTCGTCTTCGGTGTAGGGAACGTCCTCGAAATGAAACTTGGGACCTTCGATCGGGACACCAAACACGTACGGCAACTCCTCGCCGTTGTAGGTTTTGTTTCTCTGCAAACGAGGAAGCGATTATAAATAGGCCGATATTTTTAACAGCCCGGATAACATCTGGACCTTACGAGGTGGGTCTGGAAATTGACAGCCTTTGATTGCGCAAAATGATTACAAAACTGGGTTGTGGTAGGGATGTAACTTGCGATGGGAGGAGAACGGACGCACAACTATTTGGAGAATTAGCAACTTAAACTTAAAACTAATGACTTAAAACATTTGAGCTGCTTTGGGGATCTTCATGGCGCTGCAAGGGATTCAGCATCTTGATGCTCAGTTGCAGACTCATGCAAACAAAAACCTTCCGAACATAAAATAGAGCGTGATGCTCCGAGGAAAAACTGACAGTGGAGAATGAAGTTTTGTCTTCAAATTGAAGTTTCACCATCAATAAATCACTCCTGATTTGGTGAACGTATAAAACGCCACAGTCGACAAAGAAAACGTAGGTCTTTTTGTCATTAACTTCGAGTTTATTTAACTTCCACTCTCCACCTGAATAAATCACGTCTAATTTGTGGCACAGATTTGGAACAGTGTCTTTTCCATCGGCAGTTGCATGCATGACTCATTGTTTCGATTGCAAATGCAACGTGCAGGAAGGGAAGGCAACTGACCCGCATCTGAAAATACACAAACGTAATTGTAACGTTCCAGTTTAAAAATACCGCGTTTTATTTATATCGGACAGAACGAAGATGGATGGAAGTCGTTCCAGGAAACAGTCCTTTTACATGCACGCAAGCATGGGTTTTTTCGCCTGTTGGGTAAAAGGGGAGCACTTTTTGGAAACTGTCGAAAACGTGCTTCTGATGGGGCCAAAATTGACTCTCTATATATTTTTGAAGCTTCGCAGAAGCTTCCTGGTATAATTCTGGTTCATGTGTCCTTGTCATTCCGTTCACTTTTCGTATTTTTACCTTGTTTCACATTCCAAACTCTTTCGCTTTTACTCATTACTCTTCATCTACATTATTTACTCGGATGCGATTTAGAGCTAATTTATTGCTGGCAGCTCTCGCTTCTCCTCCTTTTCATAAGCTGTGAGTCTCTAGTTTTTTTTGAGCGGGAAACTTGCCGTTAAACCAATTTAGCAAAGTTCGATAACTTCCTATCTGCTGCCAAAGAAAGTGCAACACAAAAGTCTCAAGTTTGCGCCAGCTGGTTAAAAAAGCTTAATAAAATTATGAATACGTTTGAATATACTCACTATATATTCCTTAGCATGCGTTTTATGGGAAAACACGTAGAAATAGGACTGAATATGCAAGGCGGAATGATAGAGTCCCGTTTGGATAACGGGAGCGACCGTTCTGGCATCGGAGAGAATGTCGAGCAATTCGTCTCTGGCCAGAGTCGCTCTGTCTGGCTGCAGGCTCATCCAGGACGGTCCCTGATCCCTCTGAAACTAATTTGCTTGGATTAATTAACGGACGAACAGACTCTTAATGCGCCGTAAAAAATGAGGGGCCGCTCTTTTGGAATTCTTTGCACCTGAGAGCGAAGGATGTGTTGGATGTGGGCGATTTAAACTTGGATTAAGCAGAGGCCTGAGCCAGCTACAACGTGCGATAAATTAGAGTGAAAAACTCGGTAGAGAACTTCGTTTAAAGTGAAGCACTTTGTAAACCGGCGAATTTTTTAATCTGTTTCAAGACATTCAGAATGATTCATACAAGATGCAAGGAAAATTAAGCAAAGGTCATTCGGGCCATAATGCGAGTTCCCAAACAAACCGACGCGCAAATCATGCATTGTTTATGGGAAAACTTGTGCGAGTGAAACTATTATGTGGACGAAAGTTCAGTTACAAGCTGCAGCTCGTAAATCAATTTAGCGCCTTTTGCCGTCGAATTTTGGTCTTCAAACTTTCCAAGAAATGACTTAAATATTGCTCATTGTCTGGTCTGGCTTTACTCAAAATTGTTTTGCTGAACTGGACTAGTCTATTTTTTAGTTTAGGAGTTTTAACTACTAAAAGGTGGTGCTTTTCTCCTCAAGGGTTGAAAGCTGCGCTTCCATCCTTTCCCCAGAAACTTTTAGAGCAATGTTTGATCTTGCACCAGTTTCCCTATCGAGAAGAAGTCACCTAASAACTAACCGAGGAAAAACTTTGGGAATTTTAGYCATCGCATTGTGGCAYCTTTMYTCASATCTTGAAYGYTTMGMTTCCAAACTCTTACCAGAAWTKTTKAGMTYGATTTGAAACGACTATAGAAAACCATTTTTAAGCCCAGTATTTTGCGAAGTTTGGCCTCTTTTGATTTAGTTGGGCCTGATTACCATCGTCGAGCAATTCGTCGACGATCTCTTTGTTTGTGCAATGGCAAGTAAACGGAAAACAAGAAAATAAATGATGGATTTTACGTTGCGCATTACCAAAAGAACAGCGACAATAAAATATATCGCTGCAATCCAGAGCACTCTGCATCTTATGTCCTCGGACACTGAAGATTTACGACACTAAAACAACGCAATTCGGGTCTAGCTGGATGGTTCGATTTGTCTCTGGATTTTGATTCAGACATCACCCGTTTATCTAGTACAGTGTATTATTCTTATGCAATAAAATTGGCGGAATATTTTATATTTCATACATTTGCTTTGGTCGTTTGATGAGTATGGTTTTATGCGGAGGAAAAGTGATATTGATTTAGATTGCGTGCTAGTAACAGAGATTTTAGGAGAAAGTGAATGCCGGCGACTAAAATTCTTCTTCCAAACTAGAATCAGTTAAGTAACTTTCTTCAGACACTTTCACTAAATAAACCAGAAACGTCTGTGTCTACTGTGAACTTGAACCAAACTAAAGTGTGAAAACGCAGACAGAAGAGCTTCTTTTGAACCCTTCACAACAAAATATTCTCCATCCAATTCCGCGCCCGTCCATCTCATATCCATGCAGCAGTTTCGTGTTGCAAGAAAAGCATTTTGCATATCGATCAAAATGTATCATGGTTCGTTTAGGGTAAAAAGCAACTTCCGTGATGCGAGATGATTCGGTCGCTGAAAGTTTAGCCACAAATCCCCCGAGTGCACTTCAGCCACTATGACGCTGTCTTCCGCATAAGGTCAGCGCCTCTGGCATCGACTGTATTTTCAGCATTTTATTGACAACTTTGTCTTGATATTTTTAGAAAATCTGCTGCTGTTGTTTTCAAGTTCCCGACTTTATGGGAGCGAACCATTTAGGACTTCGGTGCTCCGCACGGAAAAATCGCTCCTACTTAAATAACTTTCGCATGCTCTAAACATTCGCAAACAGAAGCATAATTGTTTATATCAAAAGAGACCATTCCTTAAAACTAATGGGTTTTTAGGCCGTCGATCGGTAGAATTTCTTGTTGACGTTTCGCAAGCACGAGTGGCTTGCATCTTCAGAAGTGGTTTGGGTTAGTTCTCATCAGAACTTCTCTCAGAACTTTCTTCTTCTCATCAGAGCCCGTTCAGTTCTGCGGAAGAACTGAACGGGCTCTGATGAGAAGAAGAAAGTTCTGAGAGAAGTTCTGATGAGAACTAACCCAAACCACTTCTGAAGATGCAAGCCACTCGTGCTTGCGAAACGTCAACAAGAAATTCTACCGAAAAACCCATTAGTTTCATTCTACGCCCGTTCAGTTCTGCGGAAGAACTGAAGATGCAACCCAAAAAAACCCCTTAGTTTCATAATTGTTTATTTCGCGGCATTTCTAAAGGTTTCTGGGCTTTTTATGGAAATTATCGCTTCCAGGTAGGTGGGTTTTGGGGAATATTATCGTTAGTGCAAGGACAATTCAACAAACTCTCATAAGCTTTGAATAAAAGCTTGGGTTCCCTTGCTCAGTTTGAAATAAGGTCTCCAAATTGTTATACAATTAAGTAAATAAATAAATCAAATTCTTGCTGGTTTGCAGTGAACGTAGCACAAGAGGCGATAAATTCCATGTAAAACTTACCATCCGTTCGTGGTAGTTATAAGTTGCACTGGTTTGTGCAAAACAAGCCTCCGGCTTCATTTCGCAGCGCATTCGCATGTACTTTCGCAACTCGTCGTCTCTTTCGTGTTCCAACATGCCATGAATTAGTGCCACGTCGCCTCCTAGGGGCAAATGAATGCTCTCCATCTGCGTAACGCCGTACATCAGCTCGAATCTAAAACATAAATTTCATCCTATTAGCACACGGCGCGTTAATTGATATGCTCGAATGCTGTTCAAGCTTATAAGATATCGCAATAGAGGAAACCCGCCCCAGGAAAAGACAAATCAAACCATAAATGCAACAAGAAAAATCCTCATTTGAAACTGATAAAATGGAATGAAAGTTTAGTGCAATCGAGAAAATTATGAACCGAGCAACCAAACAGTGATTCAGACGAACTTTAAGCTCATAAAGCTGAACCAATAATTTTTTATGCCCGGTTGATAGGAAGCGAAACGAAACTTTGCGCATGCAATGGATTTTTCCTTTATGGCTTTGCCATATAACCGAAGCCAATCTAACTCCTTATAAAGTTCTTCAAGCGTGGCTGATTGTAACGAAATAACGAATCCTAAGCCAAACACAAATAAAAGCAATACGGGCAAGATAAATCGTGGCTTTTTGACTTTTACATTGATTCCCTTTTTTACTGAAACGCTCCTGAAATAAATTCCACCCTGGTGACATGAAAACGCAGCAATATATAAGGGTCGATTCCCAGTTGGTTTTAAACTGATGCGCGACGTAACGGAGATCGAGTACGCACATTTATCCGGAATCTTTTCGTAATTTCTATTTCGGTTGCGGCATATTTTCCGGCACTGTTTCTCCTAAATGGCCCAATTTTTTCGACCTCTAAGTTTGCAAGACGCAAATCGCAAAATAGATGGCCAGATTGAGGAGCCGATCAGCAAATAATCAAAAATCAACGTCGAGCAAAGCGAGGGCGCAAAAAATTACGATAAAAAAGCGCAACACTCTTTAAAAGAACATGGAAGTACGGAAGCTCAGTTGAAATCAGTAATTTTTTGAAGGTAAAACTCAATTTAAACAGCTTAAGCAACTCTCAGATGCAACCTATTCTACATGGACAATGTTGAGGAAAAATGCATAAAAATATTGATGCATTGAGGAATGATGAAGCCGAAGCAAACAGAGTTTAAGCAGATTGAAATACAGTTCGGCGAAGAAGGGCGCATAAGAAGAGCAAAAATTCCCAACTGATATTAAAGAAACATATAATAAATCAACGGTAAAACTTGCGAAGAACGCAAAGCGGCAAAATTAGGAACAAATGGACAGCGACAACTTTGGGTAAAGTATTTGCGAAAAGTACAAAAATAAACACTTGATCCCACCACTATGATTTAAATGATCGGACCTTGATCAGGATGCCTGGCGAAAATGCTGATAAAACAGCCGTTTAATGCAGCCACTAAAAAGATTGCACCTGCAGGGCTGCAAATAAGACTAAGTGGAGAAATGAACCCAGAAAAAGCACTGTACAAACCAGACACTTTCGCAAAAAAAAAATGTTCAAAACTCTATTCAAGCGCCAGCAAAAGAAACAATTTAAAGCCTTGTGCATGATTCGTCTCCTATCGGTTAGGTCGAGACGCAAAGGAACTCCACAGGTGCCTCGAGCCGTAAATTACCTGTAGGCTTTGGGGAATAAGAAAAATAAAATTGCTCAGCCAGAACTAAAGTGATGCCGGCACTTCGATTTTGTTTACGGTTCAAATAATCCCCGCCGTAATTCCGGGGCAGACGTTTACCTGGAATTTTATTCCAGAAAAGGGGAAATATATCGGCTTTCTAATGCCAACTAATTCTATGGTAATTCGGGAGATTCACCGTTAAATGTTGCATATTTTCTACTTGGCCACATCAATGAAAGGATCAATGGAAACCATCAAAACCCCTCTTTCGCATGCACCCGAATAAGAAAATTTGTCCAATCGACCTGGAAGAGTTTGGGCGATTGTGCGAATTTAAGCCCTGATTGCCCTCGGGTTGTTTCAGCCCTATATTGCTTTATTGCCAAACCCAAGAATTTCTATGGTAATTTTTCCATTCAATTCCGCCATTGAAACGTAATTAATGGGATCCAATTTCGCCTAACAAAGGCGATATTTCCTTCACCAGGGCACCCAATTTGATCGCAATTTGGCTGGTAAAAGTGTGTGTTTGACTACCGTTTGAAAATATCCGTATACTGCATCATCGACTTTCTGGGATCATTCGGCACGATCAAGTTGTCCACGACTGGGCCAAAAACCGTTTTGTACGGCTCTGTATCGGGATTGGCTGCCATCAATTCGTCCAACCTGAAACAGAAGTATGTTTGTACATGTTTAAGCTTGAGCCAATCTTTGGTACCGTTTTCGTCGCAAACAACCTGCAAAGTCGACTGGTAATTGGCAGTTGAGGATTTGGCCCACTTGAATGGACATGTCGAGCGGTTTGCTTACTAAGGCCCAGTCGGAAAGTGCGGTTCCGCTCATGAGAATGGCTCGATGAAACAATCCTGAAACAGACGGAAAATTCAAAAATTGGGCGAAAATTAAACATTATTCAACAGCCGAATACAAGTCCAGCAAATGCGGGTCAAAATGAGTGTTTGCGGTTAATTACAGTCTGAAACAAACGCAATTGAACTAAGGACTAAGATCTGTTTGTTTTGTAAGCCAAGAATTTTTATTTCTTATTTTTTATAGCTGATTAATTTATGCGAGTGTTAGGAATAGGAATTAATTTTAGAATAAGGTAGGCTAAGACATGTACTAAACAAGGGCAGAAAGACCGATTGGGTCGATAGCCTTTCTCTGTAGGAAATAAAGATTATTTATATATTATATATATATATACAGTCTGAATTTTAAAAAATCGTAACTCCCAGCCGAAGGCAAGTATGCCTTTGAAAATTGCACACTTTATAGATAATAGACTTGGTGATTAATGAATAAAAATGTGAACATTGTCATTCAAGTCGCACTTATTCCCGATTTTTCCTAACATTTTTTGTAAAAACTGTTGGTGAAAAATATGAGAGTTTTTGGTCAAACACACTCTTTATTTAAAAATTTGTAACTTCTAGCTGAGAGGCACAGTCCCCTCAAAAATTTCCCACTCTGTATATAATAGATACATCTGAAGCTACAGCCAATTTCATTTTAATCTGAGTTGATTCTGATTTTTGCAAGTGCTGCTCGAAAATGAGTGTTTTTGGTCATATTCATTTTCTCTTTAAAAAATCGTAACTCCTAGCGCAAAGCAAAATTATTCATGAAAATTTCACACGCGATCAACAATATAAATGGCTAAAGATACGCGAAATTTCATTCAAGTCGCACCTGATTTTGATGTTTACCACCCATTGTAAATGCAGGTCCAAATTCAGTTTTTTAGTCAAGTACATTCTCTATTAAAGAAATCGTAACTTCCAGCTGAGGGAAACTATTGCATTGAAAATTTATCAGTCTATATATAATAGATACAGCCGAAACTACACAAATTTTCATTCAAGTAGGGCGTGATTCAAATTTTTGCGACCATTGCAAATGCAAGTAAAAAATGAGGGTTTCAAGTCAGTTACATCATCTATTTTAAAAACGCGTAACTTCTTGTCGAGAGCAACTATTCTTTCGAAAAATGTCCAGTCTATATCTGATAGATACCGTTGCAACGTGGCCAAACTACATATTCAAGCCGCAAGTGATCCTGATTTTTAGCGAATATTGCAAGTATAGGTTGAAAATTAGTGTTTTCGGTCAAGTACATGCTCTATTAAAAAACTCGCAACTTCCAGCTGAGACGCAGCATCCCCTCGAAAATTTCGCAATCTACCACTAATAGATATGTTCAAAAACGAACCAAATTTCATTTAAGTCGCATTCGATTCTGATTTTTACCGAACATTGCAAATGCAAGTCAAAAATGAGGGTTTCCAGTCAGTTACATCATCTATTTCAAAAACGCGTAACTTCTTCTCGAGGGCAACTGTTCCTTCGAAAATTGTTCAATCTATATATAATAGATACAGTGGCAACGTGGCCAAATAACATTCAAGTCGCAAGTGATCCTGATTTTTAGCGAATATTGCAAATATAGGTTGAAAATTAGTATTTTCGTTCAAGTACATTCTCTATTAAAAACGCGGAACTTCCAGTTGAGACGCAGTATCCCCTCGAAAATTTCGCAATCTATCACTAATAGATATGTCCAAAAATGAACCAAATTTCATTTAAGTCGCATGCGATTCTGATTTTTACCGATCATTGCAAATGCTTCCAGAAAATGGTTTTTATCAACCAATCACATTCTCTGTTTTAAAAAATCATAGCTCCTAGCCTGAAGCAACTGTCGCCCTGAAAATTTCACACGTTATAGATAATAGATACGCACAAACATGTGCCTAATTTCATTCAACTCTCACTTGAATTTTATTTATAGCGAATCTTGCAAATGCAGATGGAGAATGTATTCGGTCTCTATCAAAAAAATCGTAAATTTTAGCCGAGGGCTCCGGTTTGTTTGAACTTGGGACACTCTATATATAAAAATTGAGCAATCTCAACAATTGCCAAATAAAACCACCAAAAAATTCATAAAAAAGCAGCAAAAAAAACACATTTGCTTCGTTTCATGGGCATTTATTGCATATTCAGTTCCATTTCGACTTACGTTTGTTTTCTCCATACATGGCCATAGGACTAATGGTGAGCAAGCTGGCAAACACTGCCCCTGTTCCATGACCCATCAGAGTAATTTTACTAGTATCTCCTCCAAAAGCATCGATATTGTCCTTGATCCAGATCAGTGCAGCCACCTGATCCACCAAGCCAAAGTTACTCTGGCTCGTTGTTTCAGCAGCTTCAACTTTGAGGAAACCTAAAACAGATGCAAATGTTACAGAAGAACCCAAGAAAAATGTGAGAAAGCTGTTGTTGAGGTGCCGAAATCTTTGGCACAAAACAGGATGTAAACGATAATAATTAGGATACTTGGAGCCAATTTTTTTCGAAATTTTCTGGCCAAGTGGCACCCGATTGTATTTGCGCTTTCTTAGCCTTCACTGTTTGCTTTTTTCTTCTACAAGAGCAATTGCAAAAGAGTGTTTTTTCTCCAGCATTCAATATTCAACTTGAAGTTGATGGAATTAATACAGAAGAAAATTTGCAAAAAAATAAGCTGATTAAATTAAAATAAGCAGAAGTAGACGGCGCTTTTATTGCTCAGTTTAGCCGCCCACAAGAGCCTAAAGCGAAATTCGAAAAAAACTCGCTCTTCTGAAATAACCGCAGCAAATCACGCTAAAATATTTGTGATGCTCCGGCTGTTTTATTTCTGAAGCACTTTGCTCGAAAATTATTTGCTACAGTTCGCCATGAGGGTTTATGGCCGATGCCAAAAGGCGCAACTATAAAATTTTAATGATTTACTGCCTAAGCTGAATATCTTTTTCATAATTCGGTACTTAAATTGTGGAAACTGTAGGTTTTTGAAAACGTGACCACCGGGTTTATCGTCTGTAAAAGCACATACGCTGGTGAAACGAGTTTTTGACTTGACTTTGTTGAGTTTCACCTACGGATTTTCAAGTAATGTAAAAAGGTTTTGCTGGTTGATTCAAGGATTTTTCAATGATTAATGGTATTTGTTGGTTGAACCAATTGTTTCGCGACTGAAATCCATTTGATTTTGTAACGGATTTTGTCGTATTTATGCGGCCCTAACTCGAGACACGATCATCTAAATATGAGCAAAATACAGTGCAATTAAATAGCATTTTTTATGTGGGAAAACTGAGGCGAACCAACCGAGAATCCGTAAATTCTATCCATTAACTTAGGGATCCGCTGCTAATCCTTGCGGGATTTTTCTAAGAGGATTGCGGCACTTTTCAATTTTTAACCCAGCTATTACTAATAAATAGACGCTTTTCGACGGGGGTTTCTGCTGCTGGGTGAATACTGTCCCAAATTAGCTGGCATTTCTCTAAGAAGCTTTTGCAAGGAATTATGCAAAACGACTGAAGCACTATTTTCTGTAGCTTCGGACTACAATTGCAAAAGCTTAGGGGAGCCTGCAGGAATAAATCTGCTTAGACAGTTCGCAGAGCATACGATGTTCGCTTCCGAAACGTCGAACTGTTCGTTAGAGCCGAATTGTTTAGCATCAGCTTCCAGTTGGATGGCAGCCGACGTTTTTACCCAACTGCTGCCATCCTTTCGACCAAATTATGCCTGTTTGTCACGCTACGTCTGAAATATGAACTGGGATTATCAAGCAAAACAAATGACCGCAAACTGCAGGTTTAAAATAACTGGCCACCAGGTTTACCTGCCTGAACAAAGACCAAATGTATTTGCGTCCTCATTAGATTTAATTAGTTTGCTCGAGATTGTTGCAGTTCTTCGTTAGGCAATTTCCCGATGAAAAATTGCTGGTTCTATGAAGTGCCTGGAGGCTCACTTTTATTGTGTATTGGAAAATGAATCAGATTCAACGCGAAAGTTGACGTATTTTTTTTTCAATAGTTTGTGAGGGTTTTCAACTCCTGCGTGGGTGGTTCAAATTGTCGTCATTTTCATCTTGTCACCTCCTCATCCAGTTACGTTTTTATTTATAAATAAGGAAAATTTAAGCACCAAACAGGCAGGTTAAACGTGCGGAAAATGTGCAAACATACCTAAAATTCCGAGTCTGAAGTTCAAAGTGACAACAATGACTTGGCCATAAGCTGCCAGGACGCTGCCATCGTACGGATTTCCCGAATTCCATTCAAATGACTCTCCGTGCAGGAAAACTATCACCGGATATGTCCTGGAATTTGTCTGGGATTCTGCAAAAGAACGATAAGAGTTAGCAGTTAAATGCAGGATCGTCAGGGATCCTGAGAGGGGCACACAGTGTTTTCACTGCGATTTCATTATAATCAATTAGAAGGAAAACGTTTCAATGTGGCATGCGTTGATTTTTCATTTTCTCGCGAAATTTTACATAATTTCGTGCCTGCCGCTCTTTAAATCCCCCAAAGCTTTGCCTTTGCGATTGCGATAATAAAGAGTTTTGTGGAATTGAATTTCGTGTCGTTGAAAAGAGTTAATTTTCACTCAAATTCCCAACGTCCGTTTGGGCTGGAATTTCGTGAAGCGATTCAAATTTTTCAATACGAAAATTGCAAAAATTTGTAGCAAAAAGCCAACTAAACTCAGCTAAACTGGAATGAATTAAACGGGACAGTTGAAGACACACAAACGATGAGGACAACATTTAAAATCGGAAGCCGTACGTTGTCTTGAAGCGTTCGCTTAATGAAGCGAATTAAATAAAATGTCAGCGAGCAGAAAAAGTGAAATATCACCAGCGGATGAGAAATTCACGTCTACCGAGATACGGTTTCTGTAATTAATTTAGAAGCTCTCTCCGTTCTAAAAATGAAGAAAAGAACACTTCGAAACGCGCCCATTATTCCGGGCCCGGAAAAATAAGTCATTAGTGTAAGCGCGCCTTAATGCTGTTATGAAATCGTGCAAGAAAATTGTCGGAGTTGGGCCGAAGAAGTTCATTATTTGGAGGTTCGCATCATTAGAGCAATAGTGCGTTTTGTGGGGATTCTACCAGCTGCAGGTTAAGCTCTGGATTAACAAAGAGATAATTTTTCAAAAACCCCAGTTCTCCATTTATTCCAAAAACAGAAACATTGTCTTAGTAATGTTTTGCTCACGCATGTATAACTGTTCCAACTTCATGCCACAATTCGCTAAATTCCACCCTTGAGCCTAGTTGGCGAAACTTCAAACTTTAGGCGAATTTACTTTAATGAATAATAGAAGCTCATTAGGTGGTAGTGGAAAGTTCCAATATCTTAACCGAGTGTTTTACTTTCAAAAAAACTATACAAGTTTTAAACAAAGTCCAAAGTAATTTTATTGGTTTAAAGCAATTTCAATCTGGTTTGCAAGACGAATGATTATTTTATGCGGGCGAGACGATAAAACAAATTCATAGAGTGTAGCAAATCCAAAAGAGTATTCGGGAGCACAAAATGGGCCATTTGAATATGCATTAGTGCCACTTTTCTTGCCAGCAACGAGCTTTATTAAATTAAAGCAAACGCTAAATCAATAGGCTCTGCACATTCGGGGAAACACAATCTGTGCAGGCTTCAAAAATTTGATTCACTAATGAATGGAAAACTAGTTTTTCTGATAATGGAAAACCCACTGAGAGATTTATTCTCGACCATTCTGGTCACAAGGTCTTTTTATTGCTTAAATTTCATCCGCAAGCCTAATAAAAAACGAGGTAAACATTATAAATTGTTTCAATAAGCAAATGTGGGTCATACATTCTTATATTGTGATGGTTTGATTAACAGCGTTATTTCTTTGCACTTGCTATTGGCCAGCTATACCGAAATTTTTCTTTTGGTTACAGCAATATGCAATGAAAAGCTCATACATCGGCTTCCCTCTGGCTGTATGCCCTGGAAGTAAATGTTTCTACCAAAACTCCCTTCTCGTATTGAAAAATCGATGCCAGACAGCAGGAAGCTGAATTATTCCATCCTGGTTATCTAGATGGCACTGCGCTCCTGCATATTTCACGGTTTTCGAAGAGTTTTCTAGCTGAAATACTTGAAATTCAGTAAAATCTGGACTAGAAGTTTGCACAGGAATGCAACACTGAAAAGTGTATATTTATGGACACTGCGTACAACGTATATGGTGCATTTAGAGGTGTTTGGTTTAAGCCTAATTAAGCCCCGTTTTGCTTGCAATTAGGTTTAGGTTTATCAACAAGTTTTATTTGTTCTTTTGTATGTCACTTGACCATTGTTCGACTATTGGCGCCTGCAGCACTCTAGTTTTACCATTCAGCAGACTGTTAATAAAATACTATTTTCTTTGCGCTTTTTTAATTCCGTTAATACTTCGCTTTTTACTATCATTGCCCTTTAGGTTTTTTGATTTTTTTACACTGCGTGTCATTCCAAGAAACTTTGGCATTCTCCTGCAGTTGTTTATAGACCTCGTGCAAAGTAATGTGAGTTAAATAACAAAAAATTGGCAAGGAAAATCTGGCCATGGGATTTTAATTACAGTTCATAGGTTTTGTTGACTACTTTGAAGACAATTTCAAACAAACAAACTTTCAGTGGTGGTTTCCTGTATTTATGAGTTAAAAATCAAATTTTGGCGATCTGGGATTTCTACCGCAAAACTCAACTTCCCCAATATGCATGTATTTTCCTGCTACTTCCAAATGGGTTTCGGGCGGCGCTTTAAACGAGGTCTAAACCCTCAAGAAATAGTTCTTCAACATATTTGATTGGCAAACACAAAATAGCCTGCCTAATCCCAATTTATGTGCATCCCATTCCCCTTTGCTGTCGTCTTTCGCAAAAACAGAACAAAATCGCATTATTCCGTTCCCCGATTGACAGAATAATGTCCCCGTTTCGAATCTAAGGCATTTTCAGTTCGCACGTCCGACCTGATTTAAATGCAGCAGCTTGCTGCAACTTTTATTTGCTTGTTGCAGTTTCGTAATGTATTCGTGCATCCGAACGATTTAAATATTCTCCTGAAACGGCAGGATTTAACAAAAAAAAAACGTGCTCTGCTTCACACGAAACTGACTTCACTCAATGTTTATTAAAGTCAATTAAAACCTTATTCGGACGCTTTATTCTTATTTTGGCCTCTGGGGCGCATTAATTGCTAAATTCACGTGGCTTTGCGGTGGCCCTGGTATGCAAACGTGCGGCCAAAATTGAAAATTTGTTTCATGGTTTATTAGAAACTTTGGCCGGAATTGATGGGGAAAATGCACTGTGGCTTACAGGGATGGGCCAGAGGAGTTTTCTTGCGACCAAACTGCAATCGGAGATAATGGCTGTATAAAACTGGAGGAAGTTGAAGGCGTTTCAGACCACAGGGGCTCAAAATCTGTTATTAAAAAGCATAAATCTCACCGAGAAAATCACGCAACTTAATCACGGTGCCATTCGTGGGGTTTAGTGTTAATGTTAATAAAATTCCTCTCTGAATTGCCATTTGAAGCCAAACTAACCCAATGCAAAAATCCAAAAAATTACGTAAATATGAGTCATTTTAACTGAAGGCTTGTTGCGACTTGACTGTTAGCAGTCCTTAGAAGAGTCCTGGTGCTAAATGCGTTAGAAATTGCAGGCAAATCGCATCAGAAGATCCTGATTGGGAGCCAATTTTCTAAATTTGGTTCTAAAAATGCAGGTTTTTTCACGTTTTTCATCTTTTCGCTTGGACCAAGAAGCAACTTTGAAACCTCACCGTCTATATAAAACACTCGGAGCTCAATTCGCTCTCAAATGCATTCGATTCCTACTTCAAAAAATGACGAAATTCACACAACTGCAAGATTTTCTTTAACAATTCCCAACTTCCAAACTAGATCAACCAGCGACTTGAGGATAAGTTCTATATTGTTGAGGTGGATTAATTTTTTTACAAACTTCTTTTTGGGTATTTCGCCTCAAAAATTTTGTCTTTAAAAAAGACAGAATTTCCACATGACATTAACATTAACATGAAGCAACACAATTATTTTGATTTAGTAAAACTAGTGCGCTTTCTTTAATTTTACGTTTTTTTGGGGTTTGATCTTTTGTTAAAATTATGGAATTATTCCATTGAATTTTATGGCAATTATCAAATGCATGTTGACAAATG